GTCTGAGATATTCGATTTTTCAATTCAGTTCAATTTCTGAAAACTTATACTAAAACCAGCTATTATCTGTATATTTTAATACAAGAATTATAGAAAAAGACGAACAGCACATGTTTCATGATTGAAAATCCCTACACCTAGTACCAAGTTCTATTCTGTCCAGATTGAAAAAGTAACATTATCTTCTATTTTGTAATCGGTATATTCTCAAAAATATGCAAAAAAAACGATATCAACCCTTTCACCCATAGTTCAGAATAATTTCCACACTCCGATCCCCTCCTGCACGAAAACATGCTGCTGTTATCTTTCCCGAAAGCACCACAAGAAAGATAAAAAACAGAATTATATTAAAAAGTTCAACGATAGTCCAAATATTTAGATTTCATTTTGGATAGTAGGCGATTCTACAATACAACAGATGTTCGGGAACAATATCATACAATCCATCGACGGAGTATAGCAACTACCATAAACCAAAAAATCGACCGACCAATCCCTCCGATTACAAACTCCAAACCGATCTTCAGAAACACGGATCCATCTTCGTTCGTCGAACAAGAAAAATTCGTATCGAGGAAACTAGCGGCAGATAGACCGCGTCATTTCCATAAAATCCCGCGACACTCGAGGCTCGGCGAATACGCCGGAGCAGCCGCGGCGTTGAAAAACGGGACGGAAAAGAGAAACAAAGAATGAACGGCGTTTAAACGAAGGGCGGTAAAGGGGAACGGGGGGTGAGGAAAGCGTGTCGAGACGGGGACGGTCGCGAAAACTCGCGACGATTCAAAAAAGGAACCTCGCGAAAACAGCGTAGTCAGAATGCAGCCTGCCGAGAACTGTGCGCGACGCGAAGTCGACGCAAATTAAATCCAACGACAGAAACGACAAAAACCGAATTACTTGCACGGTCCGCCTCCGGATCCAGGGTGGGCCTGAGCAGCGGAATGGTGGGGGAGGGATGGTTACCGATGATCGTGATCCTCTCGACTTGCTTAACCCATTCGAGATCAGGGTTTTTTCTAGAGACTCTAGCCAAGACTTGAAATTATAATTTTCGACGATCTTGATTTTGAGTTACTCTTTCTGGAGTCTTAGCTTGGAACAAATTCTAATTTTTGCACACTTTTTACCTTTTCCACTTGAAAGATTTTTATTAAAAATATTTAACGTGTTTTGATGAGACATAGATATTTTTGAAACTAACTTAATGAGCAATCATACATAGGTTGAGAGACAAAGTCATTTTATTTCAATATTTCATATATTGATATATTATGCGAAGCTTAGTATTGTATATCAAACTTCATAATTTTAGTATATTAAATTAAGTGATGACTGATTATGGTATATTAAATTAACTGAGAATCACCTATCGAGTACAAAGGGTTAATTTCCACTGTTGACTGGTGAAATAAGCTATGTAGTTTCACATTACTAACAGATAATGAAAATTCACGATCATTAAACGCATGGTGTGATTGGTCTTTTTGGATAGTTACTCCATTACACACCTGGTGTGTAATTCATCTCGAATGTAATTTAACTCGAGCGTTCAGCGACACCGGGCCGGAGGATCGCGCGTCGCGACTCGTCAATGAATTAATAGTCGTGCGTGTTGATAAGAAGAGGCGAGCGACCTTTTTTATCTGCGGCAGACGCGCCACACGAAACGAGAAACACGCACTGCCCTCGTTCGCAAACCGGCCGATTAAAATTGCAGTTTGAACTCTGAAAGGCTCGTCGGACAGCTGGTCACGAGGTGTCCGATGATTGATTAACAATGGTGTCTTCTGCGAGATGAGTCTTCGACATAGAATTCAGCTGTGTTCGATTGATAGTTGAAGAGAATTCCGGGGTTTCTTGACATTTTTGGAGCGGTTAATAATTTAAATGAATTTTTGCGATTGTAAAACTGTAGAGATTCATTCATTTGTTAATGGGTTGTTGTGGTGTTACCTTTTTGGGAGGATGTAGACAGATTTCTTATATTAAGGATAGAAGACATGAGTAAGTAAACGTGAATGTACATATTGATTTATCTAATCATTCTCCAAACAAAAAATTTGAATCGTGTTTCGATCATTAAATAAAATGTTTCGGGTAAAGAATAAAAGACGAGAGGACCAAATTGTTTGCGTAAAATAAAGTTGAAAAATTCTCTCTGAAGCGAGGAAATATATGTCCCGCCCACCTATTTAATTGAATTGCTTGTTGAAACATCATGATTTGAATCTGCCGGATGTTGATTTTATTTAGTTCGTATTATTTATATGAAATCGTGACCACCTCGCGGCAATTCTGCCTCTCCTTTATGTCTTTACGGCCAATATTTATCGATTTAATTCATATAGTCCGACACTTATAACCACTTTTTTCACCGTAACGTTTTATAGGGGCATTTATTGGCCACTTACTAGAAAAATTATAATAACTTCGGCTGGCTAATTTGCTTCCGTTAACCATAAAGAGTTGACAGCTGGGAAAAATACGGCGTAGACACCCAACGCGATTCTCTATCGGCGATGTGATTCCATATAATCAGCTGACTTTATTGCCGCATAGAATTACAGAAAATGATTTTCTTCAGCTACGATGGAGTGCTCTTACCGGATCCTAACGGCACAATAGCGGACGGATTCATTAGTTATAACCGGACCGGATGAAACGCGCTGGAAAAAAGAAGATCGCGCAACCGCATATCCATACCAGGCTTAGAATCGAAGATGAAAGTCGGGACGAGTTTAAAATCCTGATATTCGATCCAAAGCGCAAACGGGTTTAATTGTCGACGCTCGGTATTCAATTGCACTGCTATCGGTTTCTAGCTTTTTATCAGGAACGAAGCGATGGAACGCAACTCCCAGTAATGTAATAACGAAAGTATGGCGGCGCAGCACAGGCAGCGCTGCCGGGGCTAACGAAATGAAAATTGCAGTTCGTTTAAAGTCGGTCAATAAATAAACAACAATGATAGCCATTTTTTCCCTGCATACCGCTGTAATTTCGAACGAGATGAAGAGGACTCGAGGAATTTCTATGGAAACAGATGTATCGAACGCCATTCGATTCTTGACTCGTGTCGTCTCGACACGATATTATAGTGCGCCGATCATTGCCGAAGGAATAACCGTTCGAAAATTTCAAAAAAATCCAATTTTTTTATAGATACTCATGGATCGATGATATTTTTAAGATCTTGGGATACCATCTGTTTTACAGCTTGGACATTGAATAAAATCCATAGAATCCAGCAACATCGAAATTGTTCTGCAGAAATGAAATAACGGTTTTTATGCCAACCGAGCGGATCAATATGCGCCAGCTATGAAGGTTTAAAGCAACTAAAGGATTTAGTAGTATGAAAAATCTACAATCCATTTCAGTGGAGCAAAAACAGTGGAAATCCGGTTTTCACCGATACCGCGGTTATTGAAAAAACAGAAACAAAGATCTTGTAAATATTTCAAATACTACGAATGCAAATTTATTCGCGTAACTAGGAAATTGTCTAAGCTTCAATGATTTAAGTATTTACCGCTTGAAAAGTGAAAATACTTTCGAATATTACAGCCGAACAATTGAATTTTAGCTGGGAAATATCACAATTCGAACCATTAAGACGATGTTTCCAGTAATAAAACAACTTCTAAAGCTAACACAAACAAGTACAAATAAATAAGCAACGGGGACAGCAGCCGTTGTTATATTTTGTTATTATTTCGGGAGAGACGTGCAGAAGACACGGGAAGTTTCGTTGGAAACAGATGCTGTGCGTCGCGCGAAGAACCCTCTCGATTCCCGATGTAAACGAACGTGACGACTGTATTTACATAGAAATTATACGAGGAGTTTCTTGGCCGGTGAATCCTCCTCTGTTTCTCGTGGTTCTTTTTGCGAGCGTACTTTCGGCGTCCGACTGAAACGACCGCGGGCAACCCTGACACAGGAATTCCGCCGGCGGAAACGAGTCGAAGGAACTACGAGCGCTGCCTTCGACGCTCGTTGGTGCAAGTTAATCAACCTCCAGCTGCGCTAACTACGCCTCGGATTGTGCGAACCGTCCTTCTGATTTGTCTAAATTTCGGTTAACGACCAAACACCGGGAAGTTTCGTTCACGAAATCGCGAACCGGAGGGCCATTGACCGTTGTCGTTTGCCGGAAAATTTATCATGGATTTTGTCAACAATATCCCGCACTTAAAAACGGTCTCTTAATTCAGAATGCCGCGCAATGAAAGCTGATTTAATCTGACTGACAATGAAGCATGAATTAATTGCAGCAACTAAAGAACTGGATGATGAGGAATTTTTCCAGCAGTTTAATGAAAAGATTTGTTATGATTGTTTTTATCTTGAGTCAAGCGAACAATTGTTTTTTACTGGGAGTAAGACAGATCTCAATATTCTTATCTTGGTTAATACCGAGGCATCTTTTTTTATGGATTCATTAATTACTAAATAGTTTAAGTATAGAAGTAAAATACAAATGCCTTTCCTACAATGTTAAGAAGTATCGGAAAAAATACTTTTGTTTTAAAGGAAAGTGAATAGTAATTTTAATTGATAATCAATTGAACGAAGTCAAGTGTACGTGATATGAACCATTTAAACGAGGGATCTTCATAACAATCTAAATATCGAACGAGAAAATCAAAGTATGAAAGGAAAACACTTTAACGAAAGATCAGTCAAAACGAAGTAATTAAAGATATACAAAAATTCACCGTAAAGTGAAGAACTGCCAAGTTATCGGTCATTCTTGCAAAGATATCGGTTACAACGCAATTATGGTATATTTGGCAGCGCGTGACGGAAAGACTGTGTCCACTGATAGTACGTAAAGCGCGGAGCAACGCGGCTGGGAACTATTAATGGAAACAGAAGAGCAGCAGAGAACGCTTGTCCCTCTAGCTCTCTGACAAGCTGCGAGTGGGGCAGCGTAATTTCAGGGTCTGCGTTAAAATTAATCTTCTGCTTGAATGAAGCTGATACGCATTGTGCGAGAAAAGAAGACGCATCGGGAGATCCCTGCAGTTAACACCTGCGGAGGGGAAATTGTTCAGAAGGTCTTGCTCAGTCAGTCACGATCGGAGCTCCTTAACAATACTTGAACAGAGAAACATGGATCTAAAACGTCTAACGGTAATTATATGAATGGCTGAAATTTCTAACAGTAATTACGTGAATGAGTGATTTACGATACACTGAAAACAACTTATTTATAGAGACGGCAGCAAGCATGAAAGCCTTTTGTTTGACCTTGCCCGTATTTATCAGCAAATCTCATGGTACGCATATAGATAGCAGTATAAATAGTAGGACTATTTTTGAGCAGAAACATTTATAAATTTCTGATTAAATTAGGTATTCTGTTACGGAATATAAACTTTGTATCATGTTGTATCATGTTGGCAACACTTATCTGACATACAAGTTCCTTTCAGCTTCTATCTTTTACTACAAACATCACGAATCCGTTACGGTAAAACAATTTCCATGTTGCAGTACATCGTTCCTTGAAATTCTATTTAAAAATAGTTGTTCAAATCTCTTTACACATTTCTTTAATAAAATTACAATTTCTTGTAATCCTATTTTGTATATTGTGAACGATGATAAATACATTTTCAAGCTTTCAATGCAATATATGTTCATCTTTCTGAAATATTTTTCATTAGAGGTCCGCGATTTTTATCGTCATTGTCGAACAGAAAATCTTGGGGTGTATTAGAGGCCCGGGTGTTAAAGTAGGTCACCGTGCGGGACACTGTATCCTCCGATGTGTATCGTCGACCGCTCGTTTACAGGCATTTCCAAATGACTGTGCTTCATACGATAAAGCGGGGTTCGCGAATCCGCTGCTCCGATGCGGCCCGGTGGTGGTATTTACATCCCCGGCGTGTGATAATGGAACCTGTTACCTCTAAAACTCGTTGTACGATACTGGAGAATATGAAATAAATGTTTTGGTTTATTAAAACTAACTTTATCAAATATGAACAACGTTGCAAGTGAGAAAAGTTGATACGGAATCATTCAGAAAGGTAATTCAGAAAGCAAAATCCATGACTAATACGTTCACTGTTTGATCTGCTCTTATTACTTCCTGTGGTTAATTTATTCTGCTTTATTGGCATCCCTTCCCATTCTGTTACAACAGCGATGACCATAAGTTTATGGAGGTATCTTATTGCAGTTTTATTGAATCTCTTTGAGTTTCGGCTGCACAATAATCTCATCCCTGTCATAAACCCCATGTGCGCGCCACAAGTTAAGACACTGAACATCAGGGCAACTCCTGGAAGTAGCATTCTAAGAGGGTCAACGCTGTCGTACCTGCTACAATCCATACAGTGTGCTCTCAAGAATTGTGTAGAGTATTTTCGAGAACCGCTCCAAAACATTGCAATTAGCGAGATAATGTGTCCGCTCGGAAGTTCTGGCTTCCTAAGATAAACTTGGAAGTAGCGTTTAGTTCAACTCAGTAAACTTTTACATTGAAAAGAATACTCTTGCACCCACTCTAGAATCAGCTCAATCAATCGATACAATTTAGAAGCAGTTGGACTTCTATGATTAAGAATCACTAGCCCAGTTTTGGTCCAATTTATACAAATACAATCTTGAATGAACACTTTGGTCTAGTTTAGCAAATTCGACGCAACAGGATACAGGCATGCATAGCGAGTTGATAAGTGATGAACAGAAGCAATCAGGTTTCTGAACTGTTACAGTTTTATCTAGAGGCGACGACAGCTTTCGTCAGGTTCTAGCTTCCCGTTTAACGTTGTGTCCATTAGGATCGCCGAATGAGGCTTGTGTGCGCGGATACACGACGTTGACAACAAACGTCCGCACGGTACATGCGTAACACAGCCCTTTTAATCTTATCAGCCATCGCTCCTGCCTTCACGACCGTTCACTTCTGCCGTAATTTTTAAGCCGTCGCGAGCGTGTAATTATCGAAGTCCAGAGGAAAAGGCTAGAAGAGAATGTCCATCAAACTCGAAGAGAATTGCAATTTTTCCTCTATTAATCTGCATCCCGTTCGTTCCTCGAGATACAAGATCGCATTAAAGTTTATGGGGTATATTTTAAAGATAATAACGAGCGGCAAGTTTTATGCGTTACGTCGACTTCTTTTGCATCTCTTACTTAATACCCCATTTTATACCGAAATCATTGCCACCCTCCGACGTGTGCGTATTGCGATTCATACGCAATACAGTATCGAGGATAGAAACAGCTGTTGTTGAAGAATTATTTTAAGATCTCTTTTCACCGAATAGCTTTACTCCCGAAAGTAACTCGTGGGAATAACATACAAAAGTTGATTCCGGATAAATGTTGACACTATTTTTCAATTCTTGAATATCAACTTAGCAGGCCAACATCGGATAACTTTTAACAATATTAAAATTTTCATTGTGCATATCGTTGTTCTAAGACAATATTAAGTAAATGTTAGAGTTTCATACATGCTTCTTTTTTTCATTAATTCTTACAGCGTGTACTATGAGCTTCTAAAGTCTTAGACCTCTGTCTCTTTATCACGCTGTGCAGTACACTTCACCGACAGTCTTATATGCAATAAGTGACACGGAATTGAATGGAAGTAGGGTGAGTGTCTTCACGGTTCTCTTCTACTTCTCGACATTCCTTTAGTTATTACTGAACTGAAGACACTTGTGCAGATTCACAAAGTTTATTACTCGTACTTTAAAGGTCTTTACGTGACTACGGCCACTGAATGATCATTAAAGAAAACTGCGGAACTGCAAAGTGTCCTAAGTATTTCACTTCAGGAGTTATATCCATTGATTTCAATTATATTTCAATGCATATATCACTGTACTTACATAAGTGGAAATCGTGACGTTCAGTGAAAGAACAACTAACACAATCCTGAACGTGCTGTAAGTTCATTCTAATTGACATCATCAAACCAGTGTTTGATGTATTAAGCAAACTTTTTTCAGATGCGAGTGTAGATTATGTAAACATACTAACAGCTTTCTCTATCATAAACCACTAGTTATTGTTTTTCAAGATACACGTCTAGCGGTATTAACTATTAACCCGTAGCTTGTAGCTAGGAAGAGTAGGCGCAACTTTCAGCCATATTTCAAAGAGAACGGTCCATTTCGTGGCGCGGTGTTAAAGCGTGTCCGTGTATTCCAGATAAATCGGGCGTACGTTCTCAAGTAAATTACACCGTGGTTGAACGATGATAAGGTCTACTGTTCAGCTTGTACGCGTCCCGTTGATGGTTGCCCGTTTTATTTCTACTTTGCCAATGAGCAAAATTGCGTAACACGAGGTTACGAAGCGCACAGCCGGTCCCGTCCCTTGACACTCGTATTTATTTTCGTGATTGCCATCGGCCGAGTAGGCAGGGCCGCCGTTTCTCTCGCAAAGTGCTTCGCAAAGTCCAAGATAGAAATCGTTCGGAACGAAACACCTAGTTCCCCAAGCCCTTCGTAATTAGCTCTTGTGTCAATAACCTATGTATTCACTTCTGAATTGCATTTAAACACTTCTGATGGTTTTTTTACGAAAACTCGTACTTTATCAGCTATGTCTTTCATCCTCATTCTTAACAAGCTCATTCCTACGTTTACTTTTTAACAGACTCAAGGAAACCGCGAATTTTTTTTATCTAAAAGCGTGAGTTCAGGGAATAATAGTGTCATTACATTAAAAATCACAGATTTTGCTAAAAGTTTCATTGGAAAAATCATCAGTGACTCAGCTAAAGAGTAGTTGGAGTAATTTGTTGATAGACTGGTTTACAGTGTCCAAATGTAAAAGGAGAAAAAGGATTCGAATTGGAACATCAAAACGTTGGAAGCCTAGGAGTCACGAAATCCCCAGGTTACGATATCCCCAGAACAAAATCCGCAATGAGTCAAGCAAGAAGGAGCGATCTCAAACTTGTCCAGATGCTCAGAGAAGAGAAGCGGGTATCCTTGAGGCTGGAAGGCTGCCACAGCTCTGAGTATAGCTGCACTGTGACTATAAGCACGGTTTGTTTACAGGCACACCTCTCATCTGGATAATGTCTCCTGAGAACCAGCTAAGAGACTATAAGGACTATTAGTGGACTAGGAGTGGTCTAAACTAAGAAGTCTAGGTGGCCAGAAAGTAAAACTGGAGATCTTTGGACATGGAAAGCCATTAGAAGTCTGTGTATGCATATATGCTTTATCTACAGGAACTTTTCATCGAACTAATACTTCGTGTAAGCTAGTTAAAGATTAGCAAAAGTTTGAATTTCTTGGTCTTAAAATTCTTGGATCTTGATGCTGGTTAATAGAGTCAATATGTTGTAACTCTTACGTAGTTCCCGGACTAAACCTGGACTGAAAGGACTCTAGATTTAGGTCTTGGGTGTTCAAACCAGAAGTTCCATGTTCAGATCTTTATATCGAATCAGCAGCCTTCCATCCTGAATTAGATCAATGCGAATTTCTTGGTTATAAATTGTTCCAATTAATTAATGCGAATCTTTCCAATTCTGATCTCGTTTGATCCTATAAAGCTATTTAGGTAATGCTTTTGCTTGATACGAGTCACATGGTTTTGAATCTGTTTAATTTGAATCATTTGGCTCCAGATTATGCGAATTTACTACTCTCAACGTGAAAATAAAGTACCCTTAAATAAAGATATCATTTTGATTCATGATTTGTCAGTTATAACCTAAATAACTATTGTATGCTATTTCCGGAATAAATTCTGTAATTATGAAGTGAAAATATCAAGTTCTTCCGTTTTTGCAGTTCATTAAATGTCTCTAATTAACTGTGCGTTTCGAGGACACCGAATGTACACACTGGCATCATTCAAGTTTATCTGAGTGCAACCGATTATCCGAGATGGAAGAAGTGAAACTTGACAACCGATGGTGGGAGCAATTAGCAATATTGTGCAGTCACGTAGGCAAACTCGTATCCGCGAATGCTGTCAGACAGGTTGAAGATACCGCGCAATGGTTCACTCGAATGCTGCCTGATTAGCGAGTCAAACTCTGGATATTACACGCTCTTCAGTGCACTCTGTCCTAATATGTCAATACATTCATTTTATCTGCACACAGTAATATAAAATCTTGTTGCGAATGGTCTACATTTATATTTATTTGCTGTGTTTCATACAAGCTGTTCCCTTCACATTTATTTTTGAAATAAATAAGCCTCAATTTGAAATAAATTACTCTGTAATGAATGTTCGAACCTTTCATCATTGCAAACTCCAGTGTTCACAACTAATTTTAAAATGTGCAATACATTTGTTAGTTTCGGAACAACATATATAAATCGTCCTTTAGTTTGTTTAAGAAAGATAAGACCACAGAAGAAACGACACTTTATTCTCGATTACATTAACGGAGAAAAATTTTTCATATCAAAAAACATTCGTCATACCTTCATCATAAATCTTTGATTCATTTAAATGCTATCTCAAATTTCGCTAAGTTGAAGTTAAGCGGATTGGTGGTGTTTATGGGGCAACTGGCTAGAAAAATCTCTGTGTGATGTAGGAGTGGTATTGACCAATCGCAAATGAAGACCGACGGATTACAGCAATCACCGTAACACGCCAATGACCACGCGATAGAAGTAATCGATTGCTTCACAGAGTCAATAGTGCATAATGGAAACGGTAGTTTTTTCGTGGGACGATCCGGACTTAATTAAATTAATTTAAAACCGTGAATGGATTTTATTATCGGTCACCAATACCTGGGGCTCATTAATATTATCATGGCGCATACGTTTCCTATAGAATTTCGATTGAATTAAAGTGGAAAACACCGAACGGAGTTGATTCGAAATCGAGAAATATTAATCAATCGTTTTCTATTTTTAACAATTTTCTCTTCATTTACAACTTCTAAATTTTATCTACAACTGATTCACAATTATTAATGACAATATTTTATTGTATTCTTCTGTCATTAAAACATCGAATCTTTAATTTAAAAATAGGAAATTCAGAATACATATTTAGAACTATCGGGATTGAGCTGGATTTTTCGATCCAACGAATACCACATGCTTGAACATGCTGCGAGGGGTGAGCAGGTTAATCGTAAAACGATAAAGGAGCACGGAACGTCTTCGACATATGGGCTTCGATGGCGTGATAAGCTCCAACTCGATCAGGGCCAAGTCCATCGTAACGAACTGAAAAAGCGATAGTGAAAGAACTTTTTCTCGCTAGACGATTACCGATCGATAAATGCTTTTTCCTTCACGCGCGGGAACGTCGAGCGGCTCGTTCGAAGAAAAGCATAAATATACGCACACACCGTTGCATAAGTATATCCGGTGTGGAGAGGAGGCCGACCTTGGAATATCAAATGCTGTGTACGTCGAATGAGCACGTGAAAATGATGATCCGCGCGGCGTTTAGTGCTTCCTCGAGATTTCTGCCCGGCGAGTGTCCGCAAATTATTCGCGATTCCTCGGAGCAAGGTATTCGAAGATCAAAAGACGATGGAGGGAAGTTAACGGTGCCACACTCTAGCCAAGGGAGCTTATTCGAGTTTCAGGATTCCGGCTTCGAACACGTACCGAAGAGACATATGTAGACGAAATTTATGTATTAACACGTTGAATGCCATGGAAATCACCAGTGACTCCCGAATTACTATAGCCCACTTAATTAAATGATGATTATTTACACAAAAATTTCTATATTATAAATAATTCTACCTGATGCAGTAACATTCAACTAGAGAAACGTGCAATAATAATGACGCAATTAAATCAAATCATTTAATACTTTATTTTTTCCATTTTGTGTGTTTTACTCTATGAAATCGTACGGCATTCAACGTATTAATGAATTAAAAAGTGATAAATGTTCCTGGCTACACAGGTATTTCTGCGTTAAGAATCGCAGAAATCACGAATATTCGAATTGCACGCGTGCCCATCTGTTCTGGTATCCATGAAACAGGGAAATCTAATAAAATTCAGCGGGGTGTGCGAGCATCGACATTCCATTTGCTACGTGTTACTCTACACACATCGGCGCGTGGTGCTCCCAGACGCGGAGAAAGTGGAACGCTCGGCGAAGATGCGGTTCTTCATTTGAATATGAAAATACAGACCCGACAAACGTCGCTTATTGATTTTTCACGCGAAGTTCATCCTGAAACAGTTTCATCTTTGCACGAGAATAGGAGTGGTGCAAAATTTGTAAGAAATGACGAAAGAAAAGCTGACGCTGCTCGAATCCCTGATAAAAATTCCAATTATCAATCGTTGGACGAAAAATTCGTGGAAAATGAAGCTGAGTGGTTATTAGTCAATGTCTTTTATGAATAACGCCTTTGTATGGCAACGAAGGGATTTTGGAATATGCGAACTGATATAACAGTTTAAAAGTAAATGCATCTTTCATCATTTTAATTCTCGTAGGCTATTTATCATGAAGAGTTTCCCTGTCTTCAATGTAATCTATAGCTCCGAATGAGGTTCATTAATTGTATACTGGCAGAAGAAGATAAAAAACTACAAGAGCAAGACATATTTACGGAACATTTTCCCGGCGGCCTACTTTTTTTGCTTCAAAGTGTGTGCTTACGATGCACAGATATCCCACACGGACTTTATTCTGCGATACACACCGCCGTTGCAATACAAAATATTGGATGAATGCGAGAGTTCTTTCTGTTTTGTAATGATGCACGGAAGATATAATATTTCTTTTATATTTTTATGCGTGCGCACCTTCTGTAATATAATGAAAAAACTATCTACGAAAAATTATATAGAGCAAAAACATCAAAAGATTATTGTAATGTTCACTAACATGTCATCCAACGAAATCTAGAGACTGATATATCAGAGGGAAAAGTAACTGTTTGTTAAGGGACGTGGACTTTTTGGACAACGTATTAAATTAAATAAAATTACTGAAAGATGTATAAATAGTCTTTTAATTAATTTGTTTCTACAAGATGAAATGAAACCACTTAAAGTAAGTGTCGAGGCAATGTACTGAAAATGAAACAAATCCTATTGTGTATATTTTCTTCAAGGTACTTTCAAGGCTATAGAATTTTCAAATACGACAGAAATAAATTCTATTACACCTGAGTAGTTATTAAATCATTTTTAGACGAACTGGAATAAAGTATAAGTGGACCGCGAATTTCTATTTCTTTGTGCACTTTGACGAACGAGCTACGAAAGTGTAGTCCGAAGTGATCTCGAGACGACTTCGAAAATATAACAACGGTTCGTAGTTCTCTGTGTCGGATCCTCTTCTTTACTGATACCAGAAAATAAGCGTTGTTCCGTTTCATCCTATTTCCTATTGTTTAGCTATTATATCACGTCACACTTTCGCGACACAACTTTGGTCGCATCATTATAGTGCTACCTTGTGTGCTTCTGAAAAGTGTTCCAGTTTAGTTTACCACCACTTAAGAGCTTGTTATTGTATGTATAAGTGTATCGCATAATCTTGCCTTATCGTTTCTAGATTTGAAGTTAGACTACCAGTGACGTATTCCAGAAACTACATGCAATAAATTATTTTATGCAACAGCATGCTATTGCCGAAAAAAATACATTAATTTACTAACCAGTGAACGAATAAACATTACATTTTTAATTTCGTGAAATGCTCACGCACTGCAGAAACTAATCAACTTTAAAACACATCTTGATCGGAGAATTTTAAGATACAAAACGATCAATTTCATCAATTATAATGCAGTTTATTGGTGTATGAGACTCACTGGTTAACACATAACGCATATTTTAACACTTTACCCACCGGGATCAGAATAATTATATTTTCAATGCCAATACTTATCGACTGGAATTTTTTAAATTAATGCTTATCGAATCCATTAATATCGTATAAACTGTTCACATATTAGTTGATCGTATTATAAACTCTTCATACGTATCAAATATTTCAAAATGATTCGCTTCTATAATGAACATGTTTTCACTCCACTAGGACAAAGTGTTAAAATAAACGTACACATTTCTCAGCAAATGAATGGTACAACACTAATTCTAAAATGACATTAAAATAATTATGATACTTACTGCCTCGTGGACCGTAGAATTTGACAGAAAATTCATTTAATCCTCCTAGTATCGTCACCTCGTGCTTGCTTTCTATTCTGTTTGAATGTGTGAGTTAAGGAAGATAACCAAGGCATACGCCGGCGGAGCGCACGCGCGAACCAATTTGCCATCGCGAAGTGTAACAATGCTCCCGTTTCTTTTTCACTCTTGAACAAATACAGTTGGCGTTCGAGATTACGCGGGAGTTATTTAACGCTTGAAACTTGCTTGATTGCCAGCGAGAAGGGAATTTTCAATTTCCTGTCAAGCGAGTTTCGTGCGAACGGCTTCCGTGTGTTTTGAAAAGCTCGGAGCAATAATCTCTGTACACAAAGTACGCGAAGCTAAACCGGACGTGTCGCGCACAGGCAGTTATTACGGGCGAATATTTCGTTTTAGACGATTAAGAGCTTACTCGAATTAACATTCGGCTCGAGTAAACGTCACCCGCGATACCGTATAGACGGCGTTTGCGCGTTCCCCACGACTCCATTATTATTCGAGCGAAATTTTCCCGAGCCCCGAACGAGTGGCGCAGCTCGCGAAACGCAACCGGGAGGAACGCGTGCAATTTAAAAGGTCGCGCGAGATGTTCAAATAAGAAACGAAAACACCGGATGCAAATATTTAATGTCGACGAAGAAACGGTGCAATGAACCTGAGGAAAACCGATGGTGGAGAGAAGCGCAAGCCGAGAATCGTGTCAGAGACCCGCTGTAACGTTATTTTTCCCGATCAATGCGACCACGCACCAGAGGCTCGCGTGACCGAACGACATCGCAATGTTTTGCGTACGCTGCGATGACGCAACTTCGAGATTTTTGGCCCCGACTTCGCGATTAACCATTACGTTGGCAATCGAAGTGTGTGTATTTAACGAAATTTTAGTATTTTCGTAATTAACATTTAAGTAAATGAGATATTACAATATTTTTGTGTGAATCCTTTACCTTCAAAGCAAACATCGACGTAAATGTATTTAAGAATGGAGATTCAATGGAATATTGTCAAATTTTCATGGCAATGGAATCAAATTTAGTAGAAGGTTCCAAAATGAATATCACGTTGTCGATATAAGGATTGACAGTGACACGGCTCACTTTTCGGTTTTTAATTGAGTAAGTTCGTTGGATGTTGAAGCAATTTTCATATAATAAAGGTCGTTAAAAAAGTACAAGAACCGGTTACATATATTTTTTAATTAACGCAATTATAATTGATAATTTTATTTCGTTTTGAAAAGGAAATATTTAAAAACTAAGTATATATATTATATATATGTAACATTATTATATATATATAACAGAAAACGACACACCCCGAAAACTACCCAGAGGACGTAGCGTATCAAGTTTCCTATCTGGCAGTGTAATCACCAAGTCGCGGAAACTGTAATTATCAGGTACGTGTCGTCGAGTTCGAAGGTGCATTTCTCATTAGCCCCCCTATTCGGCGACGTATGTCTATCTCGCGACACGTGCCCGTCATTTTCTCCTGAAATTGATCCGATATTCGCCGGGACAAATCGTGCGAGAATTGTACTTCGTGCATGGTTGAACGGGGTCGGGAACCGGGTCCGAAAACAAGCAACGGAACCAGAACGTAGTGGAAGAACGGAAACGACCGCCTAGCTTTGGAGAAAGTTCACTGAACAGTATTTCGCGAGAGCTCTCGTTACATCGGGGTAAAAATAAAATACACGAGGGAGAAGAATTCGCAATGTTCCACTGTTCTCATGAATTTATTGTGGAAAACAGACAAAGGGTAGTAGCAGTTACGCAGACATTTTAATTTCGCAAATTTCTTACCAACAGCAACGCTCTTTTGATCAACTACATTAAGGTTAAAGTGTTAGCAAATTATCAAATGTTGAATAAATTTTTACTCAGAATTTGTAAATAAAATAACATGTCCGAAACGATGAATACAGAAGATAGAGCACTCTATTAACAATGTTAAATAAACAAAATTTTTGTTTTGCGATTCGGAAATTTGATCACGCTTCTCTTCGACTTAAAGAGTTAAGGGTGGTCGCAACTCGACGCTCAGGTTTCTCGAACGCTAGTGGAAGTTAGGCTTAACGAAGCTCAAACCTGGTCAGCTAAGTGAGAGCTCCGTAACGCTCGACTCGCGTGTAATAGCTTACCAAAACAAGAAAGTGGTTTACCGTACCGTTGAATAACATGACACACATCGGCGTAATTCGATTTTACTTTTCAGCGTTTCACAGGAAAACGAAGCGATACCGCGGTACAGACAATGATAAATTTCAATACTGATGGACGCGGCCATTTTCTGAATGTCGAATCGTTGAAACAAATTTTTCATATAATAATATATAAATTTACATATAAGATTAAGAAATTCATATAATTTTTTTTCAAAGTTTTTTATCAGTCAACATAAAATATTATCTTTGTGGAAAAATACAATACAGTGCATAATCAGTGTCCGTGAATCTATTGTTAACGACAATTAACTCTTTTTCTACTTGAAGAATTAAATTATAACAAACCATTTGAATATTAAAAATTGCGAACGTTTCGAACTTCCGAAACTTATCAGGTCAATGTTTCAATGCTATTGGTACACAAGACGTACCAGTTAATTAAGTATTTAAGTTCACCGGTTGATGCAGGTGACGACAGGTCGTTCTCTCCAGATTTCATCAAGATTTCATCTTAATTCTCATGATATTCAACGGTTCAGTTTTGAACTAGCGCATAAACATGCTCAGGTAAGAATCTTTTTAAACTTATCCAAGGAGAAATGATCCGCGCGCATGGTACTGGCCACGATCGTTACCCGAGCATCGCTTCCCATGAACACGCTAGTGAGTATCGAGCTTTACACGAAAGACTCGTCGTATTGCCCCCTGGATTCTCATGGCAATGGTGCTGGCTGTCGTGCTGGACAGCGATACCGCTAACGCCTCGAGCACGCGCGAAAAATAAATTCGAAAGCTCAACACGGAGAGCTGAAATCATTTTCCTAGCTATAATCATCGACCGAGCCTATCGGCAGAAAATATTGCTTCGCTACCGGAAACGTTACGTTTCAGACGTACGCGCGGGAAGTTCCGTTGTCGATTGCTTTCACGAACATAAGAACTAACGCGAAATTCTTTAACCCTTTGCACTTGAGAGGCGACTCTCAGTCGTCATTTCATCCGATACAGCAAAGTTAGAATATTTATAATTCAGTATTAAATTTTATGTAAGATATGAATACACAAGGCATAGAAATAAAACAATTCTTTTAATTTATGTAACTTTTGTTTTTTGTGTTAATTGCAAGTAATATTACTACTGGTATTTCATTAGAAAATAATGAATATTTACAGTGAGGATTAAGAATTGATATTACGATAATATTGTGAAGATGGTAGAAAGCTGTCGAGCAAAACGGGCAATGAATAGTTTAATGAAGTGAAATTTGCCTTTGAACATCTGTAAAATGATTAACAAGATGCTTTGCCTACTTATCTTTATAACGTAATTTATGGAATCATAACATTAAGAGATGGTAAGTTTCAAAATATTGTGAATGCATGAGTTACGTAATTGATTATGTACTTATGCAGTTTAATCGAATTTAATATGCCTCTGGTTACTTTTACAGTGTCATTACAAAATGTTAAAATTTGTATTAGTACTAAATCGAAATATTATCAACGTACAAACAAAGTAACGATATGTAATTCGACACAACAAACAATATTTTACCCTTGAATATTTGCTTACGCTGATACATAAGCAAATACAAGTGCATTAATGACCGGTCAATAGCGCATTAAGAAATAATATACGAGTAGAAATCCAATCACGTGAATCTCAAGTTCTGTCAAACGAATAAATAGACAATAACGGAAGGAATAATTATTCGACTTTTATTATCGACGATTCAGTTACTCTGAACCGGTTTGTCCCTCAATACGCGTACACCGATAAACCGACTTCAACAGCAATAGCATTGAATCTTTGATCTTCATAACCAAACGTAAAAACAAGGAACGAAGCGAAAGAAAATACAAAAGTATTACAGCACAAATATTGGTCTAGGATATTTCAAGAAGAAACTTGATTTTGTAACCAAGTACAAAATTAAGCCTTTGTGAAAAGGAGAACAGATTTTCTTCAAAATGAACGACAAAGAATAAAGATCCGGTTGAGCAAAAAAATAACTTCTATCTGTTCGAAAGTGCAGGCACAGTTGAACCGGGTGAAGAATCAAACAAGTTTAATAAGTCCGATCCCGACCATATCCAATTATCAGCGAGTGTGCATACGCATGGTGTACCGTAAACAAGAGAAAAGGACGGAAACGGTTGGTCAATCCCCGAGATCCGTTACGGAGCATTTACTTCTGGCGCGATGTTGTTGTTTACAATGTCGAGCCAGCCAGTCAGCCAACTAGCCAGCCAGCCAACCAGCTAACGTTTCGTTAAAGCCAACCTCTGACAGTTTATTCCACCCCTCCCTTCATCCCACTATTAAGCTTCTTCCTTAACTGCCCGTCCTTGTCCATTCTGTCTATCTTTTTTCCTTTCTGCCTTTCAACCGCAAAACCATCCAATGATAGGCTAACTTAACGCCAAACATTCAGGTTGGACAATGGCCCGAAAAACATTTCGCGGCCAATACTAAATTTTTCAATAATTTTTCAACTTATCGTTTAAGAAAAATTTGTTTGGTTCGAAACGTTAACCCTTCAGAGCTAGAAATCTGAATATATTGGCCATATCAGGCGGTTTTGTGATCAAAGATAGCGTACTAAAAGGAAAATCGTGAAGCTGAAAGTGAAACTATGATAATTGACTTCATTTAATTGATTTAATTACTCTGCGTTGCAATTTTATGCCGGCGAGCAAGTGGATTGTAATCATTTGATTAGACGGTAAGAATCATTGATATCTGTGCAAATTGCACGAAAATTAGAATTTTAAGAGGCCTTTATAGGAAACTATAGTAAAATATAAGACACTTCGTGCAAAAATTGAAAGGAACATGCAAATTCTGGGTACTATGTATTGCAACTTCTAATTCAGCGCAGATTT